CACGCATGTGTGGGTGAGGACCCTGGGTGCGGAAGGTGGACTTGGAGCCGGGCCCTGCGTGGACTGGGTGGAAGAGAGCGGGCAAGGGCCGTGAGGACCGACGCTCAGAGGCCCTGGGCCTGTGCCCTGGGGGAGCAGAACCTCTCCCCGCCTCTCTCCCTCCCCACGGGAGGCTGGGTCAAATTGGCAGCAATGCTGACAGTTGTCAAGTCTGGAGAGGGGGCTCAGGAGCAGGCAGAGGGCCTGGCCTGGGTATATGGGGGCAGAGGGGCAGGGTGTGGAGAGAATCAAACCCTCCCTGAGGGCTGGGCTTTCCTCCAGAGACCAGAGAGGGTCAGCACCCACTGGCCACCCGCCTTGCTTGGGCTGCACACAGGGGCAGGGTGGGCAGGCTGGCAGTGCCACCCGGGGCCGGGGTTCTGGGATGAGGTCAGCATGTCCAGGTGACTGCCACTGTGGTGTCCACGGGGGCCACAGCCCCTGTCCACCCCGTGGTCCTCAGCCTCACCGCCACCCCAGCCGTGCTGCCCCCCCTCTGACCTTCAGTCCTCTGCCCTCCGTCCTTGGCCTCCAGCCCTGCCGTCTGCCGGGGCGGTCACTTGACCACAGTGAGGGATGGAGGGGGTCACGGAGAGCAGGTATCACTTGACCCACCGTGTGGCCTGGGACACTGTGGGGTAGGGGCGGAGACAAAGACACCTGAGAACCTGGGGTGGGGGGGCAGAGGGGCCTGGGCCGGGGGTCCTCAGTCTCCCCTGGGCCTGACCCAGGGCTGTTTGGTTCTGTGTTTCCGGGGGTGGAGGGGGGTGAAGACGCTCTGAGGGGGCCGTTCACTGGCCACTTGGCTCGATGGGACCTGAGGAGTGTGTTTTGACACGAGTGCCCTCAGCTGAGCCGGATTCCAGAGACTGGCGGAGGCAGCGGCTCTCCCCACGCCTGAAGGAACACGAGGATTCCCATTTTCCCCAGTGACAGCACATGTCGCCCTTACGGAAGTGGCAAGGATACAGAGAAGAAATCACCGTTTTTGCCACCAGGGGACCCTGTTCACCATTTGGTTTTCCGTCAGCCTGCTTTCCGGCATCCTCTTACCGACATCACACGGGCAGTTTCTCAGTCACCCGCCGCCCCTCCTGTGACCCTGGCACCCTCTTCTGGGCGCTCACAGTGCAGGATGTGGGTCTGCGGCAGCGGTGGTTTCACAGAGGTGCTCCTTCCTGGGCCTTGTTGACCGGGTGTCTGAGTGTCTCCCTGCGTTCAGGCCACCTCCACACGGTGGCCACATGGCCCTGCCAAGCCTGCCGCTTGCCCAGCCTCCTCCAAGGCTCCCACCGTCCTCCAAGGCTCCTACCATCCTCCAAGGCTCCCGCCCTCCTCGGGGCAAAGATCCCCCCCACCGTGACCACAGCCCACACACCACCCCGTGAACCACTGGCTCTCTGCCCCAGGCCCTTTGCACCAGTTGCTCCTCTGTCTCAACCTCCAGTCCACTCATTCAGTCAGTCTTGGTGGGCACCCCGGCCACCCACTCTAAGTGTCAGGCTCTATTTTATTTCCCTCCTCCACCCCCCACGCCCCACCAGGCCACGCTTTCCACGTCTCCATCCTGCCCTTTGCGCGCTCTGCCACTGGAGGGCGTGCACCTAGAGCTGACACTATCCTTCAGGCTTCCTGAGCCTGGAGCCCAGCAATCCGCAGGGAGAGGGTCCCGTTTCCCCATCACGGGCCCCCCATGGCCTGCTTGAAATCACTTTTCTGCCTGGCACGGTTAGATGGTTAGCTTCCCGGTCAGGCACATGCCCGGGTTGCAGGCTCGATCCCCAGTAGGGGGTGTGCAGGACCAATGATTCTCTCTCATCATTGATGTTTCTTCCTCTCCCTCTCTTCCTTCCTCTCTCTGAAATCAATAAAAACATTTTAAAAACTGACTTTTCTGCCATCACTGAAGCCATTAGGGAGTCCTGGGGCCCGCCCGGCCTGGAGCCCCTTGAGGTGTGTCCCCAGTAGTGCTGAGTCCGGCCCGAACTGGCTCAGCGCTTCCCCAGCCCCTGCTCTCTCAAGGGCACACCTGGCCATGGAAACTTGGGTGCTGTTTCAAAATTCAGGAGCTGGAGCATCGGTGGGGGCCCCACGGAGCAGAGACCACCAGGGGTCCCGTGTGTGTGGCCACACTGGGGCCACCGCCCACCCTCACGCAGGGTTTTGGGCTGAAGTGGGATTCTCAGTCCTTTCCTGCCCAGCTGGGGAGGAGGTCAGGGTGCTGGTCTTTAAAGCTCCAGGTGTTGCCAATTTTTAAAGGATCAAGAAGGCGAGATTTACACACCTGCCACGTGGGGTCACCCTTGGTCAGCCCGTCTGGGCTCCTGGGGTGGTGTGGGTGTGGCCAGGCTCACCCCAGCCAGGCATTACCGGTCACCCTTGGGCACTTTTGTTCCCCATTTCTCAAATGAGGAAGTGGGTTCCAGATATCCAGGCTCCCCGGGGTGGGGGTTGGGGGGAGGCCGATGGCCTGCCAGCTGGGCTCGGGGCAGGGAGTGGGTTTCTGATGACCATCCACATTCACACCTGTGTGCATCCTCATATCCCCTCATAATTGTTCAATTATGAAATGTCTAACACGTGCAAAAAGACCCGCCTCCCAGCTGAAGAAATCCCTACACTCTCAGCTGTCCAGACCGGGGCGGGGCGGGGAGCTGGCTCTGACTTCTCAGTTCCTCTCTGCGGGGTTACAGCAAGAGGAAGGGAGGGAGTGACCTGAATCTGTACACGCAAGGACTCAGCTGAGCCCGAGGGCAGCAGCTTGTGGTCGGAGTGGAGGAGGGAAGAGCACTGGCCCTCGGCGGCGCTCCAGGGCCTGTCCACCTGACTCTTCCCGAGGAGCCGCCCTGGGGAAGCCTCGCGGCTCCCGCACTCAGCACCTAGGCCAGCTTTGTGCTGCCTTCATCTTTGGAACAGGGACAAAGGTGTTTGTCACCGGGGATCGCTTTTGCTGACAGTCACTAAGCTCTAGTATTTTCCATGGTACCTAAGTCACCCAGGGGGAAGAGCCGAGGGGTCGGCCCTCACGGCCACTCCCTCCAAAGCCTGGGCACTTCTCTGAAGTAATCGCTGAACCAAAGTCCAAGTGCAGAGCGGGCGGAGCCTTCACTCTACAGGACGGAAGGGAAGGGACTGGCTTCCAATTTTGTCCTAAATTGGCCCCCGAGGCTAGGTTATCTCTAGGGTGAAATGGGAGAGGCACTGGCCAGCGTGACTCTCAGCTGCTTCCTAACTCAGGAGTCAGCTTCTTGGACCTCCACTGGAGCAGGACGTCTCCTTCTGGGGGGCTGGAGACCCAGGCCTGAGCCCCGCCTCCAACCCCGGCCGAGCCCCCTTGAAGCTGGCCTGGAGCAGGCTGGGGCTCAGCGAGGCCGCCTATGGGCTTGTCTGCACCCAGCAAGCCCGGGCCTGCATTTGGGGTGTGTTTGGGGTGCAGTGCTCCTAGTCCCTGGCCTCCAGGCACCTCATGCTCAGCACCTGCTCCCAGGTCCCTGCCAGGGACTTTCATCACCCGAGGCCGATTCCCCAAACTCCATCCTCTGTCTCCACCCAAAGCCCAGCCCTTGGGGAATGGCACGCAGGCCCTGGATGGAGGAGGGGGCCTGTGAGTCCTCCTCGGGCTGCCCACCCTCCCCACCTCCTTCCTGCAGCCTCTGGGCCCTCCCTGCCCTGCCTCAACGTACCCCTGGAGGCCACCCCCCTGGAGAGCACACGCAGCCTCCGCTCAGCGTAAGGCCCGGTGTGGGCCCTCCTGTTTCCACATGTGCACGTGTGTCCGTGCCTGTCTGGGACCCGGAGCAGAGGGCAGCCCCTGGTGGTACCACAGAGGCTGCAGGGAGGGCACAAGCTGCCCCCATCACCTCCTGGCTCCTGGGCTTCTCTCAGGGAGGCAGCCTGGTCTGGGGTGTGAAGCTGCCTGTGCCCGTCCTGACTCAAGCTCTGGGCCAAGCCCTCCCCAGCTATTTCCTGCCCCTCCCCCATCTCTGGGTGGATTTTTCCTCTCCCAACACAGGGAGCAACGGGTGCTGTTTGTAGCCCAGATCCCCACAACCAGAGGGTCTGGGCCCCCAACCAAGGCTTACACAGCCACCACCCACGCATGGAGGCCTGGTCCCCGCACTGAGGCCATTGGAGCCTTCCTGACCCTTGAGTCTCAAGGCTGGGCAAGCAGATCCTCTATCTCCAACCCTCTTAACAAGGCCCCGGGACCCAGTCCTGGGAGCCCTGCAGCTCTGACTGTGCTGTGGGGCCCCTGACAGCCGTCTGACTCAGTGTGTACGTGGGCCGTGTGACTCAGGCTGAAACCCTGCCGGAGGCTTGTGGTTCTGAGTCTGATGCTGCTTCTGCACCTTTGGGGGTGGGGGGTGGGCAATGAGACAGTGGAATCCAGGAACTGAACCAAGACTGGGGTGGCCCCCAGCCCCCCAACTCTGGGTGTGGAAGAAGCAGGGAAGCCTGGATGCCAGGACAGAGAAGCCCTTGCCCTTCCCCCAGCCAACCTCAGGGCCTGGGAGCATCCTGGCCACACGGACGCACTGCCCTGGAGCCCCCATCTCAGGGCCAGACGCTGCTTGCCTGGCACCTCCCTACGCATCCTCCAGGCAGGGCCCAGGGCAAACTCCTTCCAGGGGCCACAGACTCCATGAGGACTGGTGGGGCCCCATCCTGCAGGCCCAGCTCCCCAACACCCCAAGCAAAGCAGGGTGACCCATCCTGACCCATCGATTGCAGCAAGGGACCTAGGACCACCCACTGAGGGTGGCCAGCACCACAGCCCGATGGTTCCTACCCATCCTCATGGCCCTCGGGCAGAGTGGACCACCCAGGGGACACAAGTTCCTGTGAGCAGGGTCTCCCCCCGGACTTCAGGTCGGTGGACACAGGACACTGCCAGCCAGCCCAGGAGAGGGGGAACCGGCCCATGTTCACAGACACAATGACGACAAAACCCCTCAAGGCTCAAGGCAACCAGACCCAAGTCTTCACTTCCAAACTAAGCTGGTGGCACAGCCAGGAGCCAACGTGCAGCCCCGAGTCCCTGGCCTCCCTGACCTCCAGGCTCGTGAGTTCCGCACACTGCTGCCCACCCCCCACTCTTTGTACAAGATGTCCCTCAGCCTGCTGGACAGTGTGCGGCCACATCTGGTCTGGGCGAGGTCCGTGCGGGTTCAAGTTCAGGGTCTAGTTGACATTGGAGCCTCTCCCTGAGGCCTCTTGCTCACTGGGGCTCAATCCCTCGTCTGGTCAGCTCATTGATCCGCTGGTCCTTCAGCTTCACCAGGTGCTCCAGTCTGACCACCTTCATCTGCAAAACCTTCAGGGAGACACACATCTCTCGCCCCGCCCACCTGCCAGAGCCGGGCAGTTTCGGCCCGAGCTGAGCGTCCAGCCAGCCATGCTGCAAGGGGGACCCCCAGAAAGGCCCTGAAGGCACGGGAGGGGCAGCCTCCTCCCCCCTTGCCGCCGAGCGAGCGCAGGCCCGCCGTTAGGGCCGTGCAGTCACTGCGGATGGACGTGTGCCAGGTGTGCTTCTAAGAGTTCACAGTCAAGAGCATGTCCATGTGCAGATGACGTGTGGTAGAACTGTCCACTTGAACCCTATATGATTTTATTGACCCATGTAACCCACTGAAGTCAATTTTTTTAAAACCTGCTATCAAATCTTGCTTTATCAGGAAAAAAGGTTTCATGAAGAACGGAAGCCACCCCAGCCTCCTCCATCAGGACGGCCACGTCACCAGGCTCCCCTTCTTGGAAGCGCAGACCCACCGCACGCACAGGCAAGTGGGAGAGGGGGATCTGAAAACGCTCCTCTGCCCCCAGCACCCTGTGCAGAGTGAAGTCAGCAGCGGCCGGCCCACACTCCAGGGCTGAAGTCAATTTTTTAAAAACCTGCTATCAAATCTTGCTTTATCAGGAAAAAAGGTTTCATGAAGAACGGAAGCCACCCCAGCCTCCTCCATCAGGACGGCCACGTCACCAGGCTCCCCTTCTTGGAAGCGCAGACCCACCGCACGCACAGGCAAGTGGGAGAGGGGGATCTGAAAACGCTCCTCTGCCCCCAGCACCCTGTGCAGAGTGAAGTCAGCAGCGGCCGGCCCACACTCCGGCTGAGGACAGCCTGCTCCCGCGGGCCCAGGGTGGCGTGGGCCACCAAGTGCTGTCCACCTACCGTATCCTGGCCACACCCCTCCCCCAGGGCCCACTCCCCAGCAGCATGCAGTGAAGGGCAGGGGCGGCCCAAGGCTGCCCACTGTGCAGACTTCCTCCTTGGGCCCACACAGAAGGTGCCTGCCTGCCCCACATGCCCAGGCCCTCAGCTGCTGCCCCCATGGCCCTGGGCACCTGTCACCCCACCTGAAATACCCACTGAAACAGCCAGCGACATTCTGAATGGCACGTAGAGCCGCTTCCCCCTCTGGGTTGCATAAAGCACAAGGTTATAATCCCCTTTGTCAGCTCCTGCGTGGACCAGAGCCCCGGGCTATGTCAGACCTCGCTGAGGCAGTTGCTTCACATCTCATCACTTCCTCTCTGCTGTCCCTCAGCAAAGGCAGACCACACCGTGACATCACTTCCTGCATTCTCAAGAAAACAGCTCACCAAGGGGGAAGCATCCCTCATTTTGGAAAATCCTAAAATTACTAGGCCTACAAACTAGGCAAAACTAGATTTGAATTATTTATCCAAATTTGCTTCTTAATTGCCGGCCCTAGACAAACTAGTTAAAATTTTTTCTCAGATTCCCAAGATGGGGGATATATGTTCTAAATTATTTTAGCAAGTTATTGCTCTACAGTCCATCACATAAATGGTCCTAAATTCCTGTGAAAAAGTGAAAATGAGTTATTAGGCTTGGAGGAGGGGAGAAACTGGGCACAGGAACACTTGCTGAGGTAGGTTACAAATAAAATACTTTGGAGAGAGATCAACCAAGGACTTGTATGCATGCATATAAGCATAAGCGATGGGTGTGGACAACAGGGGGTGAGGGTGAGGGCAGGATTGGGGGGATGAGAGGACATTGGGGGGATAAGGACACATTTGTAATACCTTAACCAATAAAGGGAAAATAAATTTAAAAAAAAGAAAATTGTAAAAAAAAATAAAATACTTAAAAAAAAAAAAAAAGAAAAAAGAAAAAGAAAACAGCTCACCAAGCCCAGGAGCCCCACCGGGGAACCACCCTGTCATCACAATTCCTGCCGGCCCCTTGGACTCTGAGCAGACGGTGTGGCCTGCACCCCTCCCCCACCCCCACTGTCTCAGGCCCGAAGCTGCGACCTGTGCCCTCATAGGGTGGTCATTCTCTGGCAGCACGGGCCTGAGCACTTCCGGAACTCAGGACCACTGCAGACCCTTGGTGCTCTCAGAACCAGGCCTGCACCCTCAGGACCCGGCCTGCACCTTGAGGACTGTCTTCTGCTCCCTGACTTGGCCCTGGGCCCGCTGTCCATCACATCCGGGCGGTGACGCCTGTAACTGTCTGCAGCCCCCGGAATGTGGGCCCTGGGGCTTGGTATCTGAGGAGGCTAGATGGTGAGTTCTTGGGGAGGGGGCACTAGATTCCTCTATGCTTCAGGATGTGTTTTGAATATTCCATAGTAAAAAATAATCAAGCCCTGGCCAATGTGGCTCAGTGGGTTGGAACCTCTCCCTGTACATCAAAAGGTGGTGAATTTGATTATTGGTCAAGACACATACCCTGGTCCGGGTGTGCAGGAGGCAGCCACCAATGTTTCTCTCATATCAATGTTTCTCTCTCTCCCATCCTCTCTCTAAAATCAGCTGAAAAATTTGTATTAAAAAAAAAACTAAATGTGGGTTCTCCCTGGTTAGAGACCCTGCTTGCCCCACCCATTGCCATACCCCCCACTATGGGTCTGAGCTGCACAGAAGGGAAAGCAGTGCCTCCCCATAACGCCCACAACCAATTCCTCTACTTCCTGGGTGGTGGGCATGGAGGGCCACCCCAGTCACCATACCTGGACGGTCTCCTGCAGAATGGCCAGCGCCTGCTCCTTTTCCTCCAGCAGCTGCTGCACCCCAGTGTTCAGGTGCTTCCGGGGCCCACCGGCGGGGTCCCAACTGAAAGGCAAACACCTGGCCTTTAACCCTGGCAGGAAAGGGTGGCTGGGGTGCAATGGCAGAGGGTTCAAGAGATGGAGCCCACCCTCTGCACGCATAGTGTCCCGTCTTCTCTGTCCTCTGACTCTGAAGGGTCTTCACGCCGGAAGGCACTGGGGAGCTCGGCAGGCCTTCGAGACAAGTAGACATGACTCAGGTCCCCGGATAAGAGAGGCGCCTCGCCAGCAGCAGCACACGGGGTGAGGGCGAGCCCACACAGAGAGTGCCATGTGGGCCTGGGGTGCAGCCTGGATGCCTCCATTTGGAGATGTGCCCATTGAACAATAGCTGCCCTGCATGGCCCCTGGACAGAAGCCGTGGGCCCCCACTCAGGATGGCGTCAGGGCCCCTCTCAGGCCCCTCAGAGCGAGCAGCTGCCCTCCTGGAGGCCACCAGCCCCACTGGGCCCTGTGTCACCTGAGGACACCCGCCCTCCCTTGCAGGTGTGTGAACTCGAGGGCACCACACGCCTGTCTCGATGGCGCTGCCCGTTTCCCACACACATCGGGGGTCTGGGTACTACCAGCGTGGGGGGTGGTCGCGAGCCCCAGCCACAGTCCATCAGCATCCGCACTGCAGACTCCTGGATCCTGCAACAATTTCAGAGGTTGGGCCGTGAGAGGCAGCCCAGCAGGGCTCACACCAGACCTCGTAGCCAACTGGCCTCCCTGCATGTCCCAGCCACAGAGGGAGGGGCACGGGAGGGGGTATGGCCGGTGCGGGCCTGGGGACGAGCATTGTGAAAAGGGAGTTTCACCGTCCCAGATCGGCCAGGGGACCAGGGGCTTCAGGACCACTTATTTCTTGCTTTCAGTTTCTCACTGGCAGACGGCAGGTTCAAAGGCGGTACGTACAAATGCACCGATGAGCAAGCCTGTGCTGGGTGGGTCCTCGCGGACAGCGCCGTCCATCACCTTTTCCTTCAGCGCGCACAGGATGGGCTCGATGGCCCCGGGCGTGTTGGCCACCACCTTTCGGATATCCCCCTCTGAGACACAGAAACGCAGCTTGTGAAAGACTTTCCTGTGAAGGAAGGGGGGTGTGGCCCTCAGAGCAGTGCGCCCTGGCTTCTCGGAGGGGACGCGGGGGCTAGGGCTCCTCCTGGCCCTGCACCTGCAGAGGCCTGTGGCCAGCTCGTTCCCAGCCGCCCCACGAATACTGGGTGCCCTGTGCGCTCAGGCCTGGGCCCCATCTCCCTGATGGGGATCTCCGGGACACTGCACGGTAGAAGTCACCTTCCTGCTTGAGTCACCCTCTGCTCTGAGGAAGTCCGAGGTTCACCTCCAATGCCCAGGACCTGGCTTCTCACCACCGCTGCAGCACACATCTGCCTGCAGCTGCCACCTCCCCTCCCAGCCTCCGAAACAGGCCTGGACCCTGCAGTGCCTCTCAGCCCCAGGCTGGGAGCAGGGCCCCCGGCACAGTCTCCAGGGACCCTTGGTGGCTCCGAATACGAGAACCCTCCCCATCCGGCTCCAACCCCTCGGGTTACCACAAGGACTCTGCCCCCTGCCCCCACTGCAACCCCCTCCGCACCCACAGGCCGCCTCACATCGCTGTTCTGTCATTTGCTCAGGGGCCCATCCTCCATTGCACTCATCACACCTGACACATCTCCTTTATGTGTCTTCCCTCTAGACCAGCGATGGCAAACCTTTTGAGCTCGGCATGTCAGCATTTTGAAAAACCCTAACTTAACTCTGGTGCCGTGTCACATATAGAGATTTTTTGATATTTGCAACCATAGTAAAACAAAGATTTATATTTTTGATATTTATTTTATATATTTAAATGCCATTTAACAAAGAAAAATCAACCAAAAAAATGAGTTGGTTGACACGCGTGTCATAGGTTCGCCATCACTGCTCTAGACTCAGCCCCATGAAGGCAGAGGTCGTGTCTGCAGTGCCTGGAGCAAAGCCCTGCACCCTGAATTATTGTTGAGTGAGAGGTATGGTCAGCATAGGCTGGACACACGGTCCGAGGGCAGGACCAATACCCTAGTGAGTGAGTCTCAAGCTGACCAGTGCTGTCCTCTTGGTGGGGAACCCCCAGGAGCCCCAGGTTGATGGTGAAATTCTGATAGACAGGCACACGGATACTGGCATGGTGTCAGGGAAACCCATAGCAAGGAAACAGCCTGAGAACTTGTCCTGGAGACCAGGAAGGGTGGGGAGAGGGAGTCCCCCCCCCCCCCCCCCCCCCGCCAGCGCGGACTGGGGGCTCCAACAAGAAAAGGCAGGAGGCGGAGAGCCTGCCTGTTGAGGGTGCTCCAGTTGCTGAGCTTCTGGTCCGTGTTGCAGGTGGGCACGTAGTTGTGCAGGTCCACGAGCCGGGGGTGGTAATGCTTCACAATCTCCGCCAGCATCACTGGGGGTGGGGTGGGGGTGGGGGGCGCAAGGTGAGCCTGGCCCGCCCAGCTAGGAACCCCTATTTACTTCCATCCTCAGTCTCCGTGGCCCCGAGGTGGATGAGGACAGAGAGTGGAGTCCTGGGGGAGCGATCACTGGGACCAAGGTGTGGGTGCTCCAGGGGGAGGGGTGTGGAAACCGGGTTCAGAGGTGCTGGAGGGAACCCCGAGTTTGCACCACCCGCCCCAGGGAATGCCAGACGGAGGAGGGGAACTGCCGAGTAACGGGGCTGAATGCACAACGCGGCCCCTCTCCGCTGCCACCCTCCTCCTCCTCCCGGGGCGTCAGGGCCCCATCTTGCCCGCGTCCTGCGCATCCCTTTAGGGGCGCCCCTCACACCCTGTTCTGGGGTCTTCAGCACTTTGCAGGGAGCCCGGGGAGCTGGGACACTTCGGGAGACACTGGCCCCAACCGGGCCATCGCGTCTGGCCGGCCACATCCCGCTCCGCCTCGGGCCCGTGCCTCCCTCACCGCCGTCGCTGAAGTCCCGGGCCAGGTGGCGCTTGGGACGGCTGAGCGGCAGTCGGTCCAGCCAGGCGTACAGGCCGCGGAGCGCGAGGGGAGACGGCGGCGGCGGGGCCGGGGAGCTCGGTCTGGCGGCGCCCAGCATGGCTGCGGGACTGATTGTTGGCCGTTGCTAGGAGACGGCGCCGGAAGGGGCGGGTTGTTGGGCCGTTGCGGGGAGACAGGGGGCGGGGCCCGAAGGGCGGGAGTTTTGTAGGTGCGGGTGGAGTTCAGTGGTTGGGCTGGGGCTTAGGGTCTTGCCCGCACGTCCCTGCGTCAGTGCGCCCAGACCGCTCCGTTTGAGGGGGCGGGGGTGTCTATGATCACGTCAGAGAGTAAAGAAGGTGAGAAGCCGCCGTCCTTGAACAGTGCACATTTTATTTTAACAAGCGTTGGAACCTTAACTATTACAAATTGAATTCCACCCAATAAAAATCTCCAGTCATTTAAAAGTTGATCAATAATTTAATCGTAAAACCATACTTTTTTTTTAAATAGCAGGGAAACAGGCTCTGAAAATTGAGGGGCTTGCAGTCTGGGGGTGCCGGAGCACAGCAGCAGGACTGGGAAGCACAGCACACGGGCCTTCCACCTGGGGGGCCCGGAGGGCACAGCAGTGCGGTCCGGACACACCCACACGCAGGCCACGCAGCAGCCGACCCCAGCCTGGCGGAGCTGAGTGTGGCCAACGTGGGTGAGAGCCAGGAACCCCAGCAGAGTCCTGACCGAGAGGCCCATGGCTGTGACCCTGGGATGCTGAAGCAAGACCTTGGCCACGAGGAGGTAGCTCTTCTGCCGGGACTTTTCAGAGTGGGCCCAGCCCACTATGGGGGCACTGCAGGGGCTGGCACCGGGTTCTCTCAACACGAACAGCTTGCAGACAGGTGCGCGGGTGCCCCAAGGGGCATCATCTCCTTAGGACGGGGGGCTTCAGAGCAACCTTTGGGCCAACTCCCTTGAAGGAGGAAACAAGAAACAATCAAAACCACCTGCTACAAAGAGTGCAACTGAATCTTACTTCCTTTCACGCTTATTAAAATTTAGATTCTTCGTTCAGCCGACAATATGATGGCCCCCTGCACACAACAATAACAGTGACGGGCGCAGTGCTCACAGCTAACACTGGGTAAAGGACAGACTTTCGTACTTAGGCTAGTAGGTGAAGACAAATGACCAGCCAGCAGGAGCAGCCATCCCTGAAAAGTCCTCTGGCAGAGTATACAGCAGAGGTTAGAATATACCTACAGCTAACATTTCTCCTTTCAGCCGACAGTGTAACCAGCCCCCGGGGCAGTGCCCTGGTCAGCCTGCTCCACTGCCCCTGCAGGTGGATACTGCTCTGGTGGGGGAGGCTCACCTCAGTGGTTCCAGGGTTGGCCCCTCCAGCCTTGGGCTTGACGGGTGGCATTGGAGGCACAGAGGTTGGCTTGATCACCTGGGAGGAAGCAGACACAGTGACAGTGGATGACACCTACCTGTCCCGGCTTGGACACAGCACTGTCTTCCCAGGTGCTCGGCTCTGCTCCAGACCGGCCCGCAGGCTTCTCTGCTGAGCTCTCTGCAGAGAAGTCCCACCCAACACCCTCCCTCCACCAAGGCCAGAATGAAACCCAAACCAGTGGGACATGGCTGCCCTCTCCCGAAGGCCCTTCCACTACCCCAACTTTACCAATAAAAAGCTTTTAAAACTGCCAGAATGTGGGTCTTGGAAGTTCAAAACCAAGAATTAACAACTAAAATTGGCAGGTGTTTTTTTCATTTTTTCATTTTAGCTTTCCCAGGGTGACAGGGGGTGGGACTCGGGATGGAGGTGGAAGGCTGACCAGGCCTGGCCCAGCCATGCTCAGCCCTGACCACACACCCTAGCATCTAGGAGGCCTGGGTTGGGCCCAGCATTTGTAGTTTTCGATAACCCAGAAGGACCTTGGTGAGCAGCTGGTCCCTCACAGCCTCTGCCTGGCTATCTCCACTTCCTGGGCAGAAATCTCTGCCTACCCTGGCCCCCATCTGGCTGGTCAAAAACCCTCCTTAGACCATCTTTGTAACTTTCTGTAAGTCTAAAATTAGTTCTAAACAAAATGTTTAAAAAGAAAGCAATAGAGAATATCTATTAAGCAAGCACCATAGTGAAGGTTGTTGTAGGGAGATCCATGTGGGTCAGTTAAAAAATTCATAGAGCCCTGGCCAGTGTGCTAAGTGGTTAGAGCGTTGCCCCCCCCCTCCAACACACACACAAGGGTCACAGGTTCGAATCCCAGCCCCGGTCGGGGAGCATAGGGGAGGTAACCAATAGATGTGTCTCTCTCACATCAATGTTTCTCTCACTCTCTCTCACCCTCCCTCCTTCCCACTCTCTCTAAAAATCCCTCTGGTGAAGGTTAACAACAACAAAAAAGTTATAGGAATTGCATCTCTCAAAGTACCTCCAAGATATCGAGGCCACAGGGAGAAACCTGTGTGAGTCAACATCCTGGGTAATAGACAGACAGGTGGACAACAGGACACCTGGTGGGTGGAGCCTGTCCCAGGAGCGGGTGGTGACTGGTCGAGAAAGCCTGGCTGTTCCTGCCACCCCCACTTTGTCAGAAGCACAGGCTGGTATTGGTCCAGGGCCAAGGTGGGTGGTGAGCAGGCCCCAGCAATAAGGAGCCCACCACAGCCAGACCTCTGTGATCTGCCCGAGAGACCGGCAGGGGGCACTCCAGAGGAGAGCACCCCACACTCTCCTGTGGGGTTTGGGGTGTCGGGAGGCTGGGGGTCTGGCCAGAGGGGAAGGGAACAAGCATAGCCAAGGGAGTCTACTGAGTGGCCGAGTGGCCAGGTCCTCTCACCTGTCTGGGCTTCTGCTCCGGGAGGGGCTTGGTGGGAGGAGCAGGTCTGAGCTGGAGGGAGGAAGAGTCAGGAGCCCAGGCCCCCAGGTTAATGTCCTCACTGGGCCCAGGTGATCAGCCTTCTGAAAGTGGGGCGGCTGCACCCTGGGGTCCCAGCCTCCCAAATCCAGCCCTTGGACCGCCCACCTTCTGGGACCCCATTTTCGCCACCTACACTGCCTGGTTGGGGGCCCCACCACCACTCACCTGGGCTGGGGCCTGCTGGGTGTACATGGGAACTGGGAAGGGTGGGCTGGACATGGTGGCCGGAGGCTGCAGGGGATAGGACCGTGAGCTTGGATCTCCCCTCGTCGCCCCCCAGCCCCTCAGCCCCCCAACTCAGGACCTGAGGTTTCTGCCCCTCCCAGAGGGAGAATAAAGCTCCAGGTGTGTATGGCAGCTCTGCCCCACCACCAGCAGGGTCCACAGCCCGAGTGTGACCTGCACGTTCCCTTTGCTCAACCGTGTGAACGCTCTGAGGTGCTGGGTTGCAGCAGAGGGAGACTGGCCCTCAAAACTGTCCTCAGGCCTGCAGCGGCCTCGAACCTGATTCAAGTTCAATGGCCAATTCTGTCATCAGGTCGTGTGGGTCCTCAGACCCCCCATCCTCAAGCCTCCTTCCTGCCTCCCAACAGGGTGACATGGCTGCTGCACGAAGGCCCTGGTGGAGCGCCCTGGCCCAGGGATCAGGTGGCCTGGGGAGCCGGCTGGTGCTTACAGCAGGGGGTGGCCGTGTAGGGGTCACTGCAGAAGCTGTGGGCCGGGGGAGCGGGCCGGAGTGGTTGGCATACATGGGAGTAACCGGCACTGGGGAGTGCGTGGTGGGGGCCGGAGCCATGCCCGTCTCTGGCCCGAAGCCCCTCTTTTGGAACAGGGGGTTGGAGAGCCCCATGGCGGTCTTGGGTGCCACATTCCTGCCAAGAAAGTAAGATGAGTCAGTGCATCCTGGCCTCAGGGTCCAATCCAGGGATGTGGGGTCCCCTGAGCCCTGGCCAGGGTACCTCACAGCTGCCTCGGTACCTGCCACCCCCCACATGGTGCACCAGTCACAGCCACTCGAAAAGGAGAGGCAGCCTCGTGTGCATTTTCCTGCAACTGGCACGGGGCCCAGGTCCCGACAGGGTGGGCGGCTGTTGAGTGGGTGGTGTGGGCAGTTCTCTGAGCCCATGCTATCCCCAAAGTGCCAACACCTACCAGGTCAGGTGTGTGTGGGGGTCCGGGACCATCTCTCTGGGCTTACCATATCCCAACCTGTCACCAAAACCTGTCACCTGTTCCCACCCCACAAGAGGCCCTCGGGGACCCGCTGTGGGTTCTCTTCTTCCTCCAGCAGCAGCGGGGCTGTTTCCCAACAGCGAGGAGGGGATGTGCTTGTTGCGCAGGGACATTGTGCAACCCTCACCTCCCTCGGATGCGGCTCCCAGCCTTGCGGTAGATGAACACGCCCAACACGGTGAGTGCCAGGGTCACCAGGAGCACCACAGGCACCAGCACGCTCATCAGGAGGCTCCCGGATGCTGTGGGGAACATGAGACCGGGTGTCCATGGGGCAGTGGGGTTGAGAGGACAGACAGGGGCCTTTCTGGGGCCCCTTCTTGACTGGAGCCCTGGCCTCTCCCCTGCAGTCACATACCCATCTGAAGACCCTTCTCCAGTGGGGCCGAGGTGGGGTTACTGGCTCTAGGCCCTACCCTAGACCCGTGAGGTCAGGATGCCCAGGCCTGCAAGTCTGACTCTTTAACAATGCACAATGGTGTGGGGGCACGCAGCTTCCTTCTCACTGCCCAAGTGGTCCTGCTGCCCCATCGGGCTGTGTGGGTGTGAAGGCCCAGGGGGCCGTCGGGCTCTTACCTACGCGCAACTCGGCCAGCAGCTCTGTGCAGTGGGGTGGGGCCCAGCCCGGTTGGCAGTGGCACTTGCCCTTGTGGTTGCACACCTGGGGGACAGCCAGGTGTCAGGAATGGGCCCCGGACCCTGCCTGTGCTACATTGCCCAGTGCCCACACAGGAGTCACCAGGCCCAGCCTAGGCCTGTGAGGGCTCTGCCATGACTGACGGGGACAGGCTGGGCTTGTCCATGGACCTGGCTCCTACGTCCAGGTGTCCTTGGCTGTCACACACGCTGACGGCAGCAGCCCCAGCCCATGTGTCCACAGGCGCCACCACCTCCAGAACTCAGGGTCTACACGGGGCCCACAGATCCTCGCCAGCTCCAGGCCTCTGCCCTCTGTCCACCCAGGCTCGCCCTGAGCGTGGCCTACAGTCTCCTTCACCCCAAAGGCCCACGTACCCCATGGCCATTGCACTGGGCGGAGCAGTTTCTGGACCGGTAAACGTGGAAGTCCTGGCACAGTCCTTTCCAACACACCTGGAAGGCAGGGGGGTGTCTCATTAGGCAGTTGGTCTCAACCCCTGACCCCACTCTCCCCCAGCAGCGAAAGCCCACCCGGAACCTGCAGGTGAGCTTCAAGGGGCAGGCTGCGGCCACCACAGCCAGGAAGGCCTTGTCTGCAGCCCTTCCGCTGGCAGGCGGACCACAGGGGCACAGAGGACTGTCCCCCACCCTGGCCTCTGGGGGGACTTGCAGACGGAAAGGTCTTCAAACCACGCTAGCCAGAACGGCACCGCCCCATGCGCTAAGTTTCTACTGAGAACAGAGGGTCCATCCATACACACAGCCCTCCGTCGCCACCACCTTGCTTTGGACCACCTGAGCGTGCATGTGGGGCATACGTTGGGGACATGAGGGTCCAGTGGCCTGACTGCCTCAGGGGGCACATCCAGGCTTGTTCTGGTCACTCACCCTCTTGTCGCCACACTTGGTGCCTTCGAGCACCTGCTCGAACCCAGAGCCACCGTCCAGGTTAAGAGCCTGGCAAATGGCTGAGTTATAGGTGAAGGTGCAGGAGGCCCGCTCTGGAGGCTTCTGCCCACCTTCACAGAGCAGGGACTCGCACTCGGTCCTGTGAACAGAGAGATTTGTGTGGTCTCCTGCTCCGTGCATGCTGACGTGCTCAGTGGGGACCTAGGGGGCTGCCAGGAAACGAGGCCCAGGACCCTTGGACGGGCTGTGGGGTTCACTGATGGGGCATCCACCCACCTCCCCCAAGGACAGGGTGGTCAGGCCTGACGGTCCTGGAAGGCAGGGTGGGCCCCACAGACCCCTGACTCAGGCCCCTCCTCCTTTGTGCAGAGGACTTTCTTGGGAGATCCCACCTGTGGGGACATCCCTGGAGCCAGGGGAGTGGGGCTTGGCTGATGCTCACCTCTCGGCACCAAGGCGGCCACTGCTCTGGCAGCCTGGTAAGACCCTGAAGGAGTAGCACGTCTCCCGGGCAGTCTGTGTGCCTGCAGGCCAGGAGCAGGTGAGTCCCCCAGCATGGGACCCGAAGCCACCCCAGGCCTGTGGATCACCTGCCACCCGCCTCACCTGGCCCCCACAAGTCCTGGCACCTCTGGGCCCGCGTGGGGCAGGCCCCGTTGTAGCAGTAGCCCCCCGGGCACGGCGTGCCGTTCTCCTGGAAGGCGTCCTCCGGGCAAGAGGGCCGCTGGCCATCGCAGTACTCCTCCAGGTCACAGTCGTCCTTGCCGGGGCGGCACAGCTTGCCGGCCGGCTTCACCTGGCCCAGCAGAGTGACGCTCACCATGGGAACAGCAGGCCCCAGGCTGCTCTCATCACCACCGTCCCCGGGGCCCCTCCCACCCGCTGACCTGGGGGCACAGCCGGGCTGGGGTCAGGAAGGGGCCCTGTGCTCACCCTGCACTCATAGCAGCAGGCACCATGGGCACACTCGGCCCCCTCGGCCAGCTGGCAGGTGGTGGTGTTGCAGCAGCGGTCGCGACAGTCCTGGGGGACGGATGGGGCAATGCCGAGGGTCTGAGCACCGGGCTCCAGTGGCCCCGGGGGCCCACCTCCCTCCATGACCCACCATCAGGGCTGGGGCCTTCCCACGGATGCCCTGCAGGTGGATGTGGGTGTCAGAAGGCAGGGGTGTGTTCTGACTGGCCGTGGGCATGCAGGGCGCCAGGCGGGTCAGGAAGGACGCCCTAACCTGTGGGACTGAGACCCGGGGCTGGTGCGGGGCAGAGGGTGGCAGTGCCAGGCCCTGTACCTGCGGGTAGCCGCAGTCACACTGCTCCCCTTGCTCCACAAACCCGTTCCCGCACACGGGGCCGCCCACCAGGCGGTCGGGGTCCGGAGCGTTTTCGATGCAGGTTATACGGGGCTTCTCCACGAACGTCTCCAGGTCGTCCTGGCTGCACTGGCTGAACAGTGTGGGGAACGTGGAACTGCGGGGAGAGGTGTCTCTCAGGGGCAGGGGCCGTGGGCAGGCCACCTGCACCTCAGGAGAGCCTGCTCTGCAGGGGCCCTCAGTCAGGACTGCGGTGGGCCTCACCCGATGCTGCCCGCCATGACGCAGCCGCCCCTGGTGCGTGACTCGGGGCAGTAGCAGCCCTGGACGTTCTCATCGTGGTCCATGCCCAGGTTGTGACCCATCTCGTGGGCCAGGGTGCACGCCACGCCGATGGGGTTCGGGCTGTGGTCCTGCAGTGAGAGGCTGTGCTAGATGGGGCCCACTCGGCCCAGTCACCTTCCTGCCGGCCCTGCTGCCCCAAGCAAGGCTGGCATTACTTCCTGCCAACACTTCTTAAAACATGAAAGCATCGCCCAGTGGCTCCGCTGGCTGGAGCATTATCCCGTACACTGAAGGGCTGTGGGTTTGATTCCCAGTCAGGGCACACACCCAGGCTTTGGGTTCGATCCTCAGTCGGGGTGCTTGGGATCAATGTGTCTCTCGCTCCCTTCCTCCCTCTCTAAGTATTAATGAAAACCTTATCCTGGGGTGAGGATTTAGAAAAACACAAAGCATCAATGCACCCTCCTGAAGAGGCAGCCGGTCAGGTGGTCATGGGGACAGACTGCCGTCCAGCAGGTGGCCCTGAGCCCTGAGGTCTCCCCTGCACGCATCCCAGCTCAAGTTCCAGGCCTGGCTCCCCACCCCACCCCGGCTGGACCCCTCCGCACCTGGTTCACAGCCCCTGAGTTCTGGGAGCACATGGCAGACACCTTGGCCAGTCCCACAGTGGCCCCGGCGAAGTCGATCCCGCTGCAAGCAAGAGAGGTGTCTGCAGGTGGACTCCCCTGAGTGCCCCCCGCGATCCCACAGCCCTTTGCTGGCGGTGGCTGTTCTCACTGCCCGTCGCCTGCTGCCCACTCACGTGATGAGCTGGACGTTGTCGTGAGGGTGCCGCCCCACCAGGTTCTGTGCCCGCCAGGTCAGGAAGTTCTCCAGCGTGACGCCGGCGTCGGAGCTGACCTGAATCTTGTCCCCGTGGTTCCAGATATCCAGGCCCACCAGGACCACGCGGAACTTGAGTTCCTGATAAAGCTGCAGGAAGACAGGATTCCGCGGGTCAGGGACCAGTTGCCTCCTCACCGGCTCTGCCACCCACACCTCCCTCCAGGTGCCTCCTCCTCTTTGACAACCAGGGTTCTGTCAGGCTGGGTGACGTCCAGAATGGGCCTGTGTTGCTTGGGGTCCTGGAAGCCCCTGCTGGGGGAGGACCCCCTGGGAGCCCCCCCCAGGGTAGAAACAGACGGCACCTTGTCCACGTGGTTCACCACCTCCAGCACCCGCCTGCGCACAGCGTCTATGCTCCCCAGCTTCTGGAACTGATGACACAGACCCTCAGTCAGCAGCCCATGGACGGCTCGCCCCCTCCGGCACACCCCCCTGCCCATGGCACCTCTCTGCTGTCCGTGACCACGTATAGCTCCACAAAGCGGGTCTTTCGGGATAGTGGCCGGTTCTGCAAAACAGCAATGAGAAGCTGGTCAGCGGCCGCAGCCATAGCCCCCCTGACCTCGGCCCAGTCTTCACACAGACCACGTCCAGGGCCCCCTGCTCAGTGTTGGGGGACCTGTCTAGGAGGTGCCAGCACAGACTAAGGAGCCGTCTCCGCAGCTGCTGGGCAGTCAGGCCCACTGGCCATCGGGATGGCAGGCAGCACCCTCATTCACTGAAAACACGGGAGTCTGGGAGACTCGTAGGCCCAAGTGGCAGGGATGAAGCTGGGCAGGGCCTCCTCACCCGGGGCCTGAAGGCTGCCAAGGTCCGAGGGCCCAGCATGCTCTCCAGGCTGGCGTTGCTGACCCCGCAGGTCCCCGCCTTCTGCTGCAGGTGCTGTGCCTTGTAGAGCGCATGCTCCCCCTCTTCCCCGCTTCCATCCAGGGGCTCAATCAGGTGTACAGCCGAGCCTGCCTGAAAGAAGCCCCTGTGGGCAGAGGGGAGCAGGGGCTCGAGTCAGTGCCCCGCCCCCTGCATGCTGCCCAGGGAGGGACAGAGGCCTGGAAGGACAGGAGGCCCCCCACTCGGCCCTGGGACATACAGGCGGACAGTGTCCAGGGCCCAGTGGGAGCCTTGCAGGTGGGGAACCTGTCGTTGTAAATAGAGCCCAGACACCCAGTGCAGAAAGGTGTCCCCAAGTCTGGCCCCTCTATTCTCAGCCTCAGTTCACTTCTCTGGAAGGCGAGGAGTGTGCTGGGGCCCTGACATTCTGACCCACTTTGCCCAGGTCTGGAGCACCCACCTGAGGCCATCACAGGTGCTGAGGCTGGCAGCGGAGAGAGGGTGCCCTTCCACATGGCCCTGGTAGAAGCAGTGGTCCTGCGGGAGGCGGGCATGAGGGCTCTGCAGGACTCACTCCCAGAGCCCCCAGCCACCTTGGGGAGGGCACCAGGCCGTACCTGCCGCTGCAGCTGCTCGGTCACCTGGGAGCCATTGGCAGCCGTGTAGGTCTCCGTGTAGCCCGAGCCCACCAGGTCCCTAGAAGAGAACCACTGTAGCTCACTGGGCCCCCCCCTGCCAGGGAGCTGGATGCCCAGGACACGGTGTGCTGGGGGCAGCCCCGGGCCCCTGCTCACCTGTTCTTCCGAAGGTGCAGGGTGAAGGTGTTCCCTGGGGCACCAAGGACATAACTCACACTCTCTGGGTACAGGCCCTGAGCCAGGAAAACAAGAGGGGTCTAAGGTGAGGGGCCTTGCCTCAGGCTGCACCCATCTCAAACCTGGGGTGGAGCTCAGCTGACAGGGATGCAGCCCAAGGCCAGGGCCCCCCAGCCCGAAAGCCCTTCAGAGGACCCTAGGGGTCGCTCAGCATCAGGCTAGTGAAGGATACTAGCCCAGGCTGGGCTGTAATGCAGGGGTCCTGGCAGGTCTTGGGCCTCGGTTTCCCCATCTGTCCACACAAGGTCAATGACAATAATGCCCCTTCCCCAGGGAGCAAGGGGAGGGGAGATGTAGCCCTACAGGCAGCAAAGGAGCTGTGGGTGGGATAGCCCCTCCAGCGCTTCCAGCACTCCCCCCATACCCTCCCCTCAGGAGACACAGTCCCTCCACCCCTTGTCAGGGACAGCACGCACCTTGCCCTCAGGGTGGAGTGAGGGTCCAGGAGGCTTAGTGTCCTTCCCAGACACCAAAGACAGGACAGGGCTACCCCCAATACACAGGCAGGCACATCCAATTCACACATACACACACACACACACAATGCACACCCCACATGGGTTCCAGGAATGACCCCAGGCAGCTCTGGGTATCTCAGCCCAGGCCAAAGCCCCTAGGAAAGGGTGTCACTGCAACCACACAATGCAACAGGCTATGGGGAGCCAGCCACCCCTCTAGTCTGAGGAGGAATTTGACTTGTCACTGCTGAGCGAAACCGGGGAGTGGCCGGGGCAGCCCCTGGCCCTGCCCACAGGGAGAGGCAGGGAGCAGGAAGGTGAGGCCTTGGGGAGGACAGCCAAGCCAAACACCAAGGACGTCACTCACACTTTCTGGGTACAGGTCCTGAACCAAGAAAACAGGAGGGGTCCAGGATGCGGAGCCCAGGTGGGCAGTGGGCCCCCTCAGGGGTCTGCCCCAAAGCTCTCAGCCCACCTGGCCCTCAGCCCCAAGGCTGGCCCCTCACAACCGGCTGGGACACACAGGAGCTATAATCTTCTAATTGGGCACTGTGGGGCCAGGGAGGGACCCCCCACACCACCACCAGGCCATTGTCCGGCCAAGACTCACCACGCCGGAGGGCAGGGCTCTGCGGGCACGAGGACCTGGCAGGCGCTGGGGCCTCACCACCTCGTACTGCTCCACGTGGGGCAAGGGGGGGCTGGGGGCGGCCACTGTGGGAGAGAAGGGTATCAGCAGGTGTGCAGGGCACCCATCCTCCTGCCCTGGGAGGCCTCTTCCTCGGTGAGACAGTGTGGGGACCAGACTCGGATCTGGCATTAGGAAGACAACAGGACCCCAGCTGGTGGGGCCAGGCAGACCCTGTCCCGAGGCAGCCCTTTCAGGAGCCCACAACTAACCGAGTAATTGCGTCTAACAAGGGAGCTGGATGGCCTCCCTGGCACTAGAAGCTCCCACATAGCCAACAACAGGCAGCGGGGCAGGCCGAGTTGGGTGCTGGAGACCAGCCACCCAAGATCCTGTCCTTTCCCTTTTAAGGTATTAACAGGTGTCTTGTGACCATTATCTTGCAAACCTCCAGGCTCAAGAGGCCCTGGGGCACCCAACTCAGTCCTGTGGCCCCAGCCACTCTCTTGGTTGCCTCCACGGTGGGGATGGGACACCACAGAATCCAGACAGGAGGTTCCCGAGCCGGTTGGGCCCCAGAGCCAGCAGCCTGCTTGGTCCTCCCCAAGCAGGAGAGGGAAGCAGGTCCCCAGGTGGCTAGACATCCCCCCTCTCAGCTCCAGGTACTGCTCCTCGGTCCTCCCTTCCTTCCTGGGGTGGGGGTCCGGGTAGGGATGGCAATCACTGCTCCATCCCAGCCCCAGTTCCCACTAGGAGCCCAGGAATGACCCAGGCACGGGTTTCCCTCACTTCCCTTTTGAAGGTCAGTCTGTCCCCTCTCAGGGCCTCCCAGTGGGACCAGCACAGGGCACAGTGCGGGTACAGGCCAGGTGACCAGCCTCTGGCGGGGAGCAGCTCCCTCCACCTGGCCAGAGCCCACATCCAGCACTCACCCTGCAGCCACCACACGCTGAGCAGCCAGAGCCCGAGGTGGAGCATGGCCGAGGTGTGCATCGGAGCTCAGGGGTCTGGAGCGCGGGTGGAGGTCTAGGATCACAGATGAGGATTCGGAGGTCTGGGATCCAGATGAGGGGAGGGTGGTGGAGTGTGGATGGGGATCCGGTGGCCTGGAGATCCGGGGGTCTGGGATCCAAGAGCACAGATGGGGGACTCAGGGGCCAGCAGGCGCAAACAGGACGTGGGGATCCAGGGTCCAAAGTCAGCGGTGTGTGCAGGGATGTGGCTCTGCGATATATGGAACGCGTCTGGTCCCAACACTGGACCTGAGGCTCTCCTAGGGGCCCCGCCCCAGACCCGCCCTTACCCACTAGGACCCGCCCTCCGGATGCTGGGAGGGGCGGGGTCTGGGGCACCTTCGTCAGGGTGCCCCGCCCCTCCCTTTCATCCTTCTTGCCCCATGCTCTTTGGTGTTCTTATGGCTACGGCTGGTCCCCTGGGGTCTCCTGGATGGTGCCCGCCGTCCAGCACATGGAAAAACTTCGTAAATGTGGACTGAATTAAGGGAGAGGGAGGCAAACAGACTACTCTGAGCCCCTCCCTGCAAGGCTGGGCCCTGGTGGGGAGAGTGGCGTGTGAAAGGCTGTCTCGGGTGGGTGAGTCTGAAGGTGGGGGATACCCTGACTTCCTGGGGAACAGAAAGCTTCTGCAGCAGCATGAAATCCACTCAGGCCCTGGTCCTGCTCGAACGGGCTGCGGAGGCCTCACTGGGGAGGGGAGCACTGGGGTGCCACCCACTTCACCTTCACAGACTTTGTTCTGTGCAGAGGCCACTTCCGGGTGGGCTTGTCCATGGGGGTCGCCCAGCCCTGCTCTGGGGGGCCCCAAATAGCAGTGAAGGCAGCCTGCCCATTGGGACCTCCCCCTCGTTTCTGCCCTCCCTGTCCTGCTGGATGGGGTCACCCCACTCTGGCCTGACACAGAGGCTGGGGGTCCAAGCCTCCTGCAGCTGAGCCAAGTGCGTTTGTCCACAATCCCAGACATGCTCCCTGGGATGCGGGGGTGACAGCATGTCAGGGACTCGAGAGGTGGTGGTGTCCACAGGTGGTTCCAGACCAGGGGTTAAAGTTCAGGGGGCCATTATATCCCCGAGGGAATGGCATAAAAGGAAAAGGCAGAGGGGCTGACACAGACTTTGGGGGCATCTTGGACGGAAGTAACAGGGAAGCCCTGGCCACAGCAGCAGTGTGGGCACAGCGACCAAGCCTGGACCGAGTGGGCCCGTGGAGGCCCGTGGGGATTGTCCCTGAGCTTACTCATGGCTGTTATAAATGCCACATGAACCGCAAGCCCCCCAGCAGTTTTACTTCTGTTCCTTCGTCACATTTTCCAAGTTGTTTCACAGAAAAAGCTTAAAAGCAGCGTGTCCGCGATGACCATGAGGCTTTACAGCGAGCTGACCCGATGCCCTGTGCGCAGCTCACGGGCAGGGACTTCACAGTAGCAGCCAGGACCCATGCGGGCCCAGAGGCTCCTACCACACAGGAACCGCCACCCACCCACAGGACGCATCTAACTGGTCCCCTCAGCCACCTGCAGGCTGGAGGTGCAGGACAGGGACAGGGCACCCGGGCTTCAGGGCCCGGCAGTAGGTCCCTCACCGAGAGCCGGGGGGTTCCTCTGCTCAGTCCCCCAGTTGCGTGACACGACTGGCAACAGGGTTGGCAGATACACTTGTTTACTCACATCGCACCTGCACAACCTGCAGAAGAGGAAAGCGGTGTGTGCAGGGATGTGGCTCTGCGATATATGGAACGCGTCTGGTCCCAACACTGGACCTGAGGCTCTCCTAGGGGCCCCGCCCCAGACCCGCCCTTACCCACTAGGACCCGCCCTCCGGATGCTGGGAGGGGCGGGGTCTGGGGCACCTTCGTCAGGGTGCCCCGCCCCTCCCTTTCATCCTTCTTGCCCCATGCTCTTTGGTGTTCTTATGGCTACGGCTGGTCCCCTGGGGTCTCCTGGATGGTGCCCGCCGTCCAGCACATGGAAAAACTTCGTAAATGTGGACTGAATTAAGGGAGAGGGAGGCAAACAGACTACTCTGAGCCCCTCCCTGCAAGGCTGGGCCCTGGTGGGGAGAGTGGCGTGTGAAAGGCTGTCTCGGGTGGGTGAGTCTGAAGGTGGGGGATACCCTGACTTCCTGGGGAACAGAAAGCTTCTGCAGCAGCATGAAATCCACTCAGGCCCTGGTCCTGCTCGAATGGGCTGCGGAGGCCTCACTGGGGAGGGGAGCACTGGGGTGCCACCCACTTCACCTTCACAGACTTTGTTCTGTGCAGAGGCCACTTCCGGGTGGGCTTGTCCATGGGGGTCGCCCAGCCCTGCTCTGGGGGGCCCCAAATAGCAGTGAAGGCAGCCTGCCCATTGGGACCTCCCCCTCGTTTCTGCCCTCCCTGTCCTGCTGGATGGGGTCACCCCACTCTGGCCTGACACAGAGGCTGGGGGTCCAAGCCTCCTGCAGCTGAGCCAAGTGCGTTTGTCCACAATCCCAGACATGCTCCCTGGGATGCGGGGGTGACAGCATGTCAGGGACTCGAGAGGTGGTGGTGTCCACAGGTGGTTCCAGACCAGGGGTTAAAGTTCAGGGGGCCATTATATCCCCGAGGGAATGGCATAAAAGGAAAAGGCAGAGGGGCTGACACAGACTTTGGGGGCATCTTGGACGGAAGTAACAGGGAAGCCCTGGCCACAGCAGCAGTGTGGGCACAGCGACCAAGCCTGGACCGAGTGGGCCCGTGGAGGCCCGTGGGGATTGTCCCTGAGCTCACTCATGGCTGTTATAAATGCCACATGAACCGCAAGCCCCCCAGCAGTTTTACTTCTGTTCCTTCGTCACATTTTCCAAGTTGTTTCACAGAAAAAGCTTAAAAGCAGCGTGTCCGCCATGACCATGAGGCTTTACAGCGAGCTGACCCGATGCCCTGTGCGCAGCTCACGGGCAGGGACTTCACAGTAGCAGCCAGGACCCATGCGGGCCCAGAGGCTCCTACCACACAGGAACCGCCACCCACCCACAGGACGCATCTAACTGGTCCCCTCAGCCACCTGCAGGCTGGAGGTGCAGGACAGGGACAGGGCACCCGGGCTTCAGGGCCCGGCAGTAGGTCCCTCACCGAGAGCCGGGGGGTTCCTCTGCTCAGTCCCCCAGTTGCGTGACACGACTGGCAACAGGGTTGGCAGATACGCTTGTTTACTCACATCGCACCTGCACAACCTGCAGAAGAGGAAACCGTCTGTGGCTTGCCCGGCCCTGCAGGGCAGCAGCCGAGGCCAAGAGCCACTCCTACCTTCACCCCAGGGGATCTTGTCTGTGTGCCCAGGCCTCTTAGTCTCATTCCTCCTCAGTTGCCAAGGAGGCCACCTGGAGCAGGTGGTTCAAACTGAATTTCGAAAATGACTGCATGAGTCAGCAGAGTGGCCCAGAGGTGTTCGTGGCAGCATCATCCTCAGGGCTGGTGTGCCATCTATTGCCAAACTGGGGAGGTGGGATCAGCGAGGGCAGGTACTGCCAGATGGGGAGGCCAAAGGTCGTGGAATGGGTTGGGCGGGCATGTCCCCACCTCAGGGCTGTCCTGTGGGGGCAGTCCTAAGGACAGAGGCCTCAGCCACAGCCCCAGGCTGCACATTAGTGGATGCGGGTCACAACTCACCTACAGCACAAGGAGCTGCTGCCCCCTAGTGCCAGGAGCAAACCCCAGCCCATGGGTTTGAGGGTTCTGGCAGACTCCAGGGAGCCCAGCCCGTCTCGCCCCCACAAGGCACCTTGGCAATTATTCTAATGTTGCTCAAATGCCTTTTTCTTTGAGGCCAAAAAGGAAAATCCCCTAAAGTGCCCCTGCTCTACTTAAACAGCTCACAGTAAGCACACCATGGAGACACCACTCTGGTCTGGGAGGCTGCTCTGCCCTGAGAAAGACAAACTGAGCAGATAACATTCAGACTTTACACTTCAATGGCAACAGCGCACGCAACACATGTACTTCAGATACTTTATTAGAAATCCTGACCTCATCTGTCTGCAACAGCACCCACCAGCCCATCGTCCCTCCTTCAGCTGTGGTGGGTGCAGGGCTCCGAGGGCCTCACTGGGCGGTGACGGCGACCCTGGGCGCTGGTGCTGGGGGCCCCCGTGGAATGGGCACTTGGGGGGCTGCCTTCTGGCTCCTCTCTGCAGACAAGCGCTCCAGGCGCTCTGTGTAGAAGCCGTTGAAGTCGAGCCTGAGGGGTGAGGGCGGGGCTGGAGTGTATGGGCACCCACCCTGCGGTGGCTACAAGACCCTGCATTAGGTGGCAGGGACACCCTTCCATCCCTATCCTCCCACGGCCCCCATCTCACTGCTCATCTGACTCGGGGTGACACTGTTGCTGGGGGAAGGGGGTCCTCCTTGGGTCCTGGCTCCGGGAGCACCGCGGAGTGAGGCTGACCGAGGACCATGGACACGGACCGATGGTGGGGGCATTGCCGGACGGCTTGCCTCTTACTGAGGAATGCACATCAGGGAACCGATGCGTGTTGTCACTTCAGGGAGTGACGGGGGACAGGCAGCAGCATAAGGAGGCCAAGGACAGACACCCTCAGGCCTGAGCAGAACTGGCCTCACGTTGTCTGTGCTGACCCGAGTGGGTAAAGGTGAGAGAAGACAGCAGGGAACCTGGGCCTTGCAGGCATGCGGGGCAGGGACAGGGCCCACGACAGGAAAGCTGCCCACACCCACCTGGAGATGACGCTGGCCATGCCGTGCTCGCAGTCGCTGGTACTGTAGATGCTCAGTCGGGCCAGGAGGTCAAGCAGATGGGCTGAAAAATTCTTATCAAACTTATTGATGGTGGCCTCGAAGCTGGAGGCCAGCTGAGGTGTGTCCACATGCTCGGCCAGGTGCTGGAAGACAGGAGCCCAGCTTGCCTTTACCTTCCTTTTAAGTTCTTCCAATAGAAGAATGGACTTCAGGAAGGTTCCAAGTGATAAAAGGTATAGGTAGGGCATCATAAAAGTTCCTGAGACCACCCTAGCCGATTTGGCTCAGTGGATAGAGTGTCGGCCTGCGGACTGAAGGGTCCCAGGTTCAATCCCAGTCAAGGGCACATGCCAAGGTTGTGGGCTCAATCCCCACTAGTGGGCGTGCAGGAAGCAGCCTATCAATGATTCTCTCTCATCATTGATGTTTCTATCTCTCTCTCCCTCTCTCAAATCAGTAAAAATATATTTTAAAAAAATAAGGTCCTGAGACCACAGGACGGAGCCGCCCTGGGCAGCTGGGCCTCTCCTCCTGGCCACAGGGCACCAGGGTTTTCTTTGTGCAGCTCAGACTTCAGCACAGTCTGTGTTCTCTCCTGCTCGTGAGGGGACGAAACAGGGACCATGGGAGCTGGCGCCTGAACCCATGACCCCTCCACCCACGGGCCGGCACGCTGGCATCTGAGAGCGGCCTGACCTTCAGGTAAGGAAAGACTCTAACCTATACTTGCTGAGTGCCAGGTTCTGCAGGTCGGCCCTACAGCTCAGCCCTGAGCCACCGCCTGTTGTGCAGATAAGCTGGCCTCACCCTGGCGCTCAGCTGGGCTGGGGTTAGAGTGTGAGGGGATTTCTGTGGCTTGTGTTCGGAACCTAATTTTAAGATGGTTGTCTTTTAATCAAACACAAGCCAGAAATGAAAGGGTGGTAGCGGGTTTAGTTTTTAAGTATTAGAATCCTAACACTGTCAAATCTCTCAGAAGATGGAGGACCTGCTGGATTAAACCCCGACGCCACGCACCTTCCTGGCGAGCTCCTTCCGGGCACGCTCCTCCGCCCGCTCAGCCTCGGTGGGCGGCCCCTGCATCGTGCCGTGCTCCAGGGTCAGGCGGCCCAGCTCATCGTCCAATTTCATGCTCTGTGTAAACCTCTTGGGGCCCGAAAAAAACTTTCATTACAACCTATTTGCTCCCACTGAAACACCCCCTGCACCCGGACATCTGCAGACTCGAGGACAGAGGGCGGGCCTTCTGGGAGGCTGCAGACGGGTCAACACCATTCCAGTCTGCCCGTCACGGGCTTATGGACCTATTTTTCTGGAAACACTTGCTTTTCATGGTGTTCTCCAGTTTGCAACCCAGTATATGGCCCCTAAATGTCTGAGGAATCGAGTTCACATGCTCCTGACCCCTTTGTCATCAGCCATCACATCCCAGGCTCTTAGTCTGCCTTCACACTGGTTCAGACGTCCCAGTAGCCTTCAGCCCTGGCGAACCCCCATGTCACCCCTTCTGTCTCCTGACACTGTTTTCTGTACCACTGCTTTTGAGCCACTGCTTATGACAGGCGCCCAATAAAAATGAAATCAAATAAGTTCTGACAAAAAGAATGCAAGGTATTCAGAAACAGGCCTGTACAGAGACACTGCAGCCAGGGTTCCTGCCCCCGGGCCAGGTGGGCTCAGGAAGGACACTCAGGAGCACCTGCTGGCTGATGGACAGAGAGGGAGCAGGGTGGGCAGGGCTGCGGCACGCACCTGCATGCAGTTAGTGAACATGACGCACACAGACATGAGCTTGGAGAAGACCTTGAGCAGCTCGGGGTTGGTAAGCATGCAGTCCTTCAGGCAGTTGTCCAGGAAGCTTGTGTGGTGCCCCAGCACATCATCGATGTTGGAGGCCTGCAGGGAGCACACCAGATTGATGTGTGCCCCCGGGGCTTCAGCCCTGGCTTTGCACACGTCCGTGTTATTTCCATTTAAAAACTGACCTGTGGTCTTTGGGGGAAACTCCTATACCACTAACAGGAAGTAATACTGAACATGCCCCCAAAGTCCAAGGTTTTGATCCCTAAAGACAGGAAGCAAGAAGGAAACACTGCCACTTGCCACTTCCTGCTTCTGGAATTTGGTGGCAATTGGTCTTCTGGCTGAGAAGCCCCAGAGGGCCCAGAACGTGCTGGTGGGAGCACAGGGCCCCCAGTTCTGAGGCTCTCAGAGCTCCCAGAGGACAAGGCGTCCATGATGTTCAACAGCTGGGTCCTGGGGCTACGGGGCGTGTGAGAGCAGATCCCCCACACCACACAAACCACCCTGTCACGTGAGGAAGGACAGCGTGTGTACAGAGGTGCAGCTTCTCCCGATGAGGCTCTGAGTGAGGCCTCGCTGGTGGCATCACCCTGACACCCACCCTAGCACCTTCCTCTCTGAGGACCTTGCAATTTGAGGGCCCGGGTTGCTGCAGAGTCTAAGTGTTACAGCAGTTAAGTCAGAACTCACGGATTTCAGGTTTTTCTCGAGGATGTGCCAGGTGGGCTCCATGACCTCGAACATCATGTAGTACTGAATGTTCTGAACAAAGTTCAGCATCCGCTGTCGCAGTGTGAAGGCGCCGGCAAACCTGGGTGAACAGAGACATCCCAGAGACGCTGTGGAGCTGGCACCTGTACAAGACCCTCCTGCTCCCCACCCCGCCCCAGCCCCAGCGTGTGCAGGTGGTCGGCAGGTACACCTGCTCTGAGCACAACCCATGATGCAGCTCCTGAGGCTCAGACACAGGCACAGCAACACCTGGGGCCACAGACCAGCAAGCAGAGTGCCTCAGGCTTAAATAGGTGGAGTGCTGACACCACAAGGGTCCCAACCTGGGAAGAGGCTCAAGGTCCTCCGAGGGCTCCCGCCCAGACAGGGGGTGACAGGCCCACAGGTCTGTGCAGGCGGTTGGGGGACAGGGCGGTGACCTGGGCACCTGGTGGTCAGCATTAGCCGTGCACTGCATGGGTGTGCATCCTAGGACTGCTTCCCCGTGTGGACAGAGGACGCACCACTTGGCGGAGTGCAATGCGTGCTGCTTGGCGGCCTTGTTGCTGATCCAGACGCTGCAGAGCTGCCGCTCCACATGCTTGCAGTAGAACATGTGCCGGAACAGCATCTGGTAACGCGTCAGGGCCTTCCTGCGGAGGAGAGGGCGTGGGATCCCACCGACACCTGACATCATAAACGAGGCTCCGGCTGTCACTGACACACAGTTCTGCATCTGGGCCACTAGGCGACCAGGTAACCCCCACAGGACACAAATGGCTACAAAACAATGCACTGGGCGGGCACATCTGATTCTTCTCCCTGAAAACTGTTCACTGAAGCTGGTGCCTGGGGACCCACACTCACCTGTTAATGATCAGCGACAGGGGCCACTTGACCACGTAGTCGAAAGAGAAGGCCTCCAAGCCGCTCAGAGAGAGCTCCGTGGGGTCGGCCTGCACCATGGCCTTCTCCTGCTTGGTCTCAATGGCCAGAACCCGCAGAAGCTGAGTGATGAGGTCATGAGGCATCAGGTCAATCTTGGGGGAGAGAAATAGAAGAACATGGAGTATGAGCCCTTCGTAAAGTGTGCAGATGTCTAATTGCTGTGCCCTCACCTGAAGGCAGTGCAATAACGTAAGGTAACTGTAACTGAAAAAAGTGTTCTTTTTTATTTTGTTAAATATGGAACACTTCACAAATTTGGGTGTCAACCTTGCGCAGGAGCCATGCTAATCTTCTCTGTATCGTTCCAATTTTAGTATATGTGATGCCGAAGTGAGCACAAAAGTTTTCATTTTTTAAAATTTAAAATAACTTATAAGAAAAAAGCATTAAGTTGTGACCTCTACCCCACCCATGCATATCAGCTAGAAAAGCAAACCCAGGACTGAGGTAAGTTCCTCTAAAGACGGGTTCTAAATCTTGGAGACTGGCTTAAAAATACCAACCATTCGATAAATACTGCTTCAAAAATAAAACCACTTTCACTCTAGCCGGTAGTTCAGTGATTAGAGCATCACCCTGATTAACCAAGGCTGTGGGTTCCATCCCTAGTCAGGGCACATACAAAAATCGACCAATGAGTGCATGAATAAGTGGAACAACAAATTCATGCTTCTCTCTCTCTCTAAAAATAAAAACAAGCAAAACAAAAACCCAGAGAAATTGAAACCAAAAATTGGTTCTTTGAAAAATCAATAAAATTAACAAACTTTTAGCCACATTAACTAAAAAAGGGGGAGAGAAAACTCACATGAGTAATTGAGAAATGAAAGCAGGGACATTACAGAAATGTCAACCTTACAGAAATGAAAAGGATCATGAAAGCTAATTCTAGCACCAATTCTAGGTACACAAATGACCAAACTGACTCGAGAAGCAACAGACACTCTGCACAGACCTGCAGCCAGCAAGGAGACTGAGACGTAGTCAATGGCAAATTCTACCAAACGTTTAAAGAACTAACCCAATCCTCCTGCAACTTCCAAACACTGAAGAGGAGGGAACACTTCCCAGCTCAATCTGTGAGGCCAGTGTTACCTGGAAACCAAGCCACAGATACCACAGGAACACCACAGGTCAATAACCCTGAAGAACAGGGATGCAAACATCCTTAACACTGCAAACTGAATTGAGCTGCACAGTAAGAGGATTATACACCAGGACCAAGTGGGACTTAAAATGCAAGGATGGTTCAACTCACAAAAATCAGTTTAATATACAACGAAGGGGGGAAAAACAGAGGATCATCTCAACTGAAGCAGAAAGAAAACCTGTCAGGCACTGGACCTTATTTGTTTCTTTTTTAAAATGTTTTTATTGATTTCAGGGAGAGGAAGAGAGAGGGATAGAAACATCAATGATGAGAGAGAATCATTGATCAGCTTCCTCCTGCATGCCCCCTACCGGGAATCAAGCCAACAACCTGGGCATGTGCCCTGACCGGGAATGGAACCATGACCTCCTGGTTCATGGGTCGACACTCAACCACTGAGCCACACTGGCCGGGCTCCTGGGCTTTATTTCAACCATCTTTCTCACGTAAAGGCCCACCTTGAGGTCGTCCTTGAAGGGGTCTGTGTTGGCGGTGCTCATGCGCAGGGCCAGCTCCAGCAGCGCCTCCAGGCGTGTGGGCGTGATGTCGTCCACTGGCTTCTTCAGCTCTTCTTCTGTGAGGTCCATGAAATGCACAAAGAAGTCCCCCTGGTCCATCAGGAAGTAGCGCTTGATGGACCTTGGAGAGGTGACAGGCAGACATCAGTGAGACCACTGGGGATGCAGACCAGCCCAAACTCTGGAGAAATGGTGGCAGGTGACTGACAAGAAAAAGCCACATGCACACAAAGGGCTCCGGCTACGTGCATGCAAAGCAACATGACTGTGGTCAGTTTATGAGCTGCAATGAGCAGCTCTCTCGGGCAGGGGCATAAGACCATTGTGCCAGGACCTGCAGGACAGCTGCCAGAAAGGGGTCACTGCAGGCCAACGAGGGGGGTGCAGAGGGGTCACTGTGGGAGCCAAGGAGGGGCCTGGGGACCCTGGGCAGGGAGCAGACTGTGTCCACAGGTGTCAGGCAGTAAGACTGGAGATGACCTGGCCGTGTGCCCATTTGTAAAATGACAGATGGAACTGCTGGGAGCTCCGTGCCTTAGGCAAACCTTCTGCACATGTGCCTGCACTAACACGGCGGAAGCGCACACCTCAGGTGCGCCACGAGGTCCTGCTCCTCCATCAGGAAGTCCAGCAGCACTTTGCTGGCGTAGTTAAATGCCTTCTCAATCTGCTCCACATATGCTCGCTCCTTCAATGTATAGATGACCTCTTTGGCCACTGGGCAGGTGACATCATGACCACACTCTCTGACCACATTTAGGTACTTTCCTGAAAAGAGATGGAAGTAAGATTAAACGTTCCGTTGTACATACAAGTCGTGGCCCACACACAAGCTAGAGGACTGGACACAGAACAGACTGTGAGAACAACTCTGGAACCTGCTCTAGCCATAGAGCAGGTCACCAACCGAGGTCAGAAGCAGTGGTTTGTCGTGACTGTTTACATCTGATTTCTCTAATCGAGAGCACGGAAACAAAAGCCCTGAAGAACCAGCTTCTAAATCGTCTTCCAACCCCGTCCCAGACAGCCCTGCTCTCACCAAATGCCCAGACCCTGCTGACTTGCCATTCACGTCTCTACATCGGGTTCCTGCCCCAGTGGGGTGACTAAGAACCCAGTGGGCCTGTGTCCTTGATGGTGTTCCCTGTAATGTGTGCAATATTGTGATATAACAACCAATACCTGATTTTCATCCATTTCCAGCACTGAGTTCCTAAAACCCTTGGAGTCTTGTTACTCAGAAGCCCCTCCACCCATCCTGAGTTTATGCTAATGAGGTGACTCCTGGCAGGCCCCAGAGAGCTGAAGGTGAGGCTGGTGGCCAGAGGAACCAGCCAGGTGATGAGAAGGCTGGAACTTTCAGCCTCACCCTTATGTCTGGGGAGGGGCCAGGGGCTGGGATTGAGCTAATCACCAGTGGCCACTGATTTACCCAATTGTGCCCATAGGATGGAACCTTCATAACAACCCTCAACAAAGGGGTTTGAAGAGTTCGGGTTGGTGAACATGTCCACCTGCCAGGAGGTGGTGCACCCCAGCTCTCTGGGGACAGATGCTCCTGTACTGGGATCCTCCTAGATTTCACCCCACAAACCTCTTCACCTGGCTGTTCATCCGAATCTTTTATCAAATCCTTTATAATAAACCAGAAACTTAGTTGCTAAATTGTTTCCCTGAGTTCTGTAAGCTGCTCTAGCAAATGATCAAACATGAGGAGGGGTCACGGGAACCCCCAATTTGTAGTCAACTTGATGGCCTGGGACTCATGGCTGGGATCTGAAGTGGGACAGTCTTGAGGGACTGAGCCCCGAACCTATGGGGCCTGCATTGCATCCGGGTAGTGTCAGGACGGAGTCAGACTGCGGGACACCCAGCTGGTGCCCACAGAGAACTGGGGACTGGGGTGTTGGTGTGTAAATCTGGTGTCAGTGTTGTGAGAAAGTTTTTCTTTAAGTAGCAACTGAGTTCTGAAAATGCAATAGTTATGAGGAAGGAGAGGCACCTACTGAGACAACCTCTTAGGCTCAGGGAACAAATGCAGCCAATCAGACCACAGGAACCAGACACAAAGCCTGCACAGCCTGGCGCCTGCCTGCCCAGCCCTGCCCACCCCTGCCCACTCCA